CTCAACAGAATCAAGACCGAGCCATCCAAGGCCATGTATGGCAACATCCTCGAAGCCATCAACATGGCCTCGCAGTTATATGCCCACGACTATATCGACCGGGATCTCATGAGAACCGGTATATCGGTCGTTGTGATAAGCGCCAGCCCTGGCGTGTTTGAAGTCGATTACGACTCGTTGCGTAGAACGACGGAAGCGCTGGTTGGCACCGGGATAGGCATTGACTTGATTTGCGTCCCTAAAATCCCCTTGCATTCGGTACCCCTATTCCGGTACCGCAATCCCCGGCACCAGGACCACCCACATCACCACCACCACAAGGTTAAACCCACCTTCAGCTTAGGAAGCACGCCGAAACAGGGAAGCTCGACCTTCGGCAGCTACACTAGTATCTCTAGCTCCTTCTCGCCCAGCAAAGGTACTGATATAACCATCCGCGGCGACTCCCGAGTGTCGACGGCCGCACGCGACGAATGGTGCTTTGCGTTGCCCCAGTGGCTCCACGTGTCGTATTGGACAGGTGCCTCCGGAGAGGCCCTTTCGTACCACGGCATCGCCCTTTCGGTTTCGGAAGGCCTGCAGGTGGAGACGGACGAAGAGTTTCCAATACGGTGTCGCATGTACGACCTCCAGATGCGGAGCGTCATGGAGACCAACGAGATCGAAACAAAACCGTTGCACATGGACCCCTGCTTCCCACTCAAGGCGGTGCAGTCGAGCCGTGTTCACAATCCGCAGCTTGGGCCCGATGGCAGCGTCTATATCCAGAACCTACGAGCTCCCGAAACACTCTTCGACCATGTTTACGGATTTCAGAAGTTCGCCCCTGACAAGAACAGCGCGCGCTCCGAGAAGTCGCTATGGAAGCAACTACAAGAGTACGATGACTCCAGGGCTCGGCTGCCAACATCGCGAAGAACGCCGGTTCACCTGAGACATGCGCGGGATCACCACGAGGTCTCCAGACAACACGTTTCGGACGATTCGGGTTTCTTATCGACTTCCTTTACAGACAGGCGGCCATCTCTCCAGGCTCGGCTCACGGGGCTCTCGACGGAATATCGGCCTTCCGCAAACAGGCTCCAAGTTCCACAGATCAGAACCAGGGCTCCCCCTGAGCCTCCGGAAGCCGAGCCCAAATTGTTATCGCCAACCAAGCCGCCCAAAATAATACGACAGATCAGTCTTGGGTTTCGAGGTTTTGGTATTGCAGCACCGAAGGCGGCCACAGCCGAACTCAGCATCGAGACCGTGGGGGCATCCAAGACAGCCGCGAATGCGAAGACAACGCCCGTCAAATCGGCCCAGCGGCCGAGCTCACCGAGGAAGGCAGCATTTGGAACACCAACCGGCCGGGTTTCACCGCTGTCCTTCGCCCAGGGAGCTCAAAGTCCTCTCGACACACCAACTAGGCCCATCGTGATCAAGAGCCAGTCGCAGTCAGCCGCCGACCTCTCTCCGGGAATGACCCCAGGATCAATGCTCTCGTCAACTCTCCGCGCGGACCGCATTGGTAGCGATCTCGACTTGCAGTACTCGAACGCGATCAGGGCAGAGGATGCCAAGAAGGTTTACAATTCAAAGCTTCTGGCTGGCGCGCTGCCGGAGTTGCCATCCACGCTGTCGCCGACGGCGGCAATATCGCCTTGGCTAACCACTGTGAATCCGTCTAACCCACAAGCCAACGATGTCGATATGAGTACCCTGTATAGCCGTTGGCAGCATGTCTTCCCAAGACCATCGGACATGCAGATCATGAAATGGAAATCCCTTTGCTCTCCGGCCGCAGTTCCATTGACAACCGAGTACTTCCCCACCAAGACACAGTTTGAGGCGGAATACCAGCGCCAGCCGTACAATGTGTCCCAAAACATCGATGATGAGTTGACAGAAGAACCCAAGACGCGTGACGAGCTTTTGCGAGAGCTGATTAGTCTTCGCTTCTCGCAAGGCTTCCAGATCGTGGTTGGTCCTGCTGTAGCGAAAGCTTTTGGTCAGAAACAGCTTCGCATAGCCGACATATTCTCGCGGGAAAGCGTGTTGGAAGATGGCACAAGCGTGTTTATGTCGGTCGGCAACACTATACATCAGCTGTCCTGCGTCAACGGCAGCGATGTCGAGGTAAACATATTCGTGCGAAAGCCCATGGGGGGGGCATTGGAGGAGGCGAGCGATGGTCAGCTGTCGTACAGACCGGCTATGCGGACACTCTTTGACAACACGTATGAAACGGGCGAGTACGATCTTGTGTCGCCGAAACCGGATAGGAACTGGAACTTCATTGACTCGTTCTTGGCGGGACACCACGACGGGCTGGCAGACCATCTCCGTTTCTGGAGAGCCCGCTTCGTCCTTATCCCCATGTCTAGCCGGCATTCGTCGTTCCCCAAGACGCAGAACGGCGATAACGATGAGGAAATCCGCATTGAGGGTATCCGAAAGCTCGCCCAGATGTGGCAGAAACATCGCTACATCCCGCCGGATGAGCGGCGATATCAGAGCGTCGGAGGCAGGCGGCGACGAGACATGAACCCGCTGGACATAGTCTACAAAACTGACGATCCTTCCGTGGTGATTGCTGCCGAACTCGAGACGCTGCCCCTGATTGAAGGGCTCGAGGGTGCAAATCGCAAAGGCCAGCTCGTGCGGAGCAGGGAGCAGTTTCAAAAGAAGAACTTTAGCCTGGCCGCGTTGGCGGATGCCATCCAGCAGCCCGTGGAGAGCGGAGGTGTACGGATGCAAAACCGCCGCTGGCATCTACGGTTACACTACAACTGCTTTATCGGATCGGACATGACGAGTTGGCTTCTCGAAAACTTCGAGGACCTCGAGGACCGTGAAGAAGCCGAGGCACTGGGTAACCGGCTGATGGTCTCAGACGAGAAGGACAAGGACCGGGAGGGATCCAAGGACGCAAAGAGGGACGGTGGCGGTCTTTTCGTCCACGTGGAAAAGCGGCATCCCTTCCGCGACGGACAGTACTTCTACCAGATCACGAGTGATTATGCAAAGCCGCATCCGCCCGGATGGTTCAACAGCAGACGAAACCTGGCGTCGGTGCCGTCGACACCGCTGACGGAGCACATGCCACGCGACGCCGCGCGCCCCCCAGCGCCGGGACTGTCGAGGCCGACATCCATACACGAGGAGGGTTCTCCCGCCTCCGGCGCCACGACGCCAACGGCTGCGGCGCCGAGCGCGGGCGGTTCCAAAAAGCCCAACGTCGTACTAAGCAAGGTGATCAAGTACGACGTGGATCACCGAAAGCGGTCCTACCGACCCGAAATTGTCGAGCTGCACTACGACCGGCTGCACAACCCCGATAATTGCTATCATATCCGCGTCGACTGGATGAATGTCACGGCCAAGCTGATCGAGGACGCGATTGAAAGCTGGGCACGCGAGGCTGTACTCTACGGTCTCCGGCTGGTTGAGGTCCCGATCGCAGAGGCTTGCTCCATCACCGAGATCAATCCCTTCCGGCGTCCATATCTCATCCGTCTGGCATTGGCTCCGCCCGAACAGCAGCCGGTAACGTACTACGATCCAACCTCGTTTACCCCGCAAACACAGCCGGGGCGACACTTCTACCAAAAGGCTATCCTCCGCAAGTTCGACTTTGTGCTCGATGTCGAGGCCGCGTCCAACTTCCCCAGCACCGTCAACGTGACGTACTCATGGGGTCGGCCGGAATTTAAGTACACGCAATACATCCACCGGACGGGCATGGTCCTGGCAGAAATAACCGACGATGGAGATATTCTGCTGCTTGCCAACCGGCTATACAGCAACAGAGCGGCTACAGCCCGGGAGAGGGAGGCGCAGAAAGAGCTCCGCACTACCGAGCCAGCCTCCACAGGGATGGATCGTGTCGGGTCCGGCCAGGGAGCGCGAACGGCTTTGGGGTCCTACACGCCATACGGCATCGCCGAGCCCACGCCCGTTGCGTCGCCATCCTTCAAGCCGACGTTCTTGTCCCCTGTAGTCCGACCGAGTCCTATCGGGATCCCATCCGCCCAGGGCGCATCGCCAGCCACCGCGTTTGGCACACCGGGACAACTCAAGTCGGCCACGGCCACGGCCACGCCTGGCGGATACACACCACAAGAGCCCGAGCTGATTAAAGACGAGCTCGAGTCGTTCTGTCTCGACGGCCCAGCGCTAGACGCGTTCTACAAGGAGCAACAGATTATCGAAAGAAGCACAAGCGGCCTCGGACAGGCAACACAGCCGAGCACGGCCTCCGCCGCTCTGACGCCGGGGTTCGGAGCCAACGGCTCAGGAAATAATGTGGAGGACAAGAATATACCCGTACTCGGCCTACCGCCGACAGTATTGGCTGCTGCGGCGGCGGCCGCGGCGAATAATCGCAACTCTACCTTTGAACCGGGCCCGAACAGTGCTAGCTTCACGCCGCGGGTGAGCAGTCCGGCTCTGATGAGTGCGTCGCAACTGTTTGCGAGGAGGGGGAGCGTGCAAGATGGTATGCTCGGGCTCCGGATGACGAGTGGCAGCGGGAGCGGGAGTGGGACACCTGTTGAGCGGAGCGGGTCGAATGAGAATAACCAGGGAAGATGATGTTGATGCATATATGTGTAATGTGTTGTCATGAGAGTAGTGTAATAATACCATACGTGCTGGAAAGGGTTTATTTTTTTATGATGTGTTGGTGAACGTGAAGTAGCGGTGATGAACTCGTTGCGCAAACTCGGTTGCTCGGTGCACATGTACTCTGAGACGCGTGGAGGATCGTATGATATTGTGTACCTGGGGAGGGGGAGGGGGATGGGAGAGGTAGGTCAGCGTAAATCCGAGATGCTTCGTGAAGAGAACTAGACGTTTTTTATAAAGGCCTCTTTCTATATATGGGCGGGTAGGTATGATGCCGCGGATATCGTCGATTTCGATCGTTCACCATAGCAGTTGTTGTCTGTCCGGGTTTGGTTTAAGGGGGTGCCCCCCGGGTATCAAAAAGGGGGCAAACTGAGTCACTGCCCTACGTACAGTAGCAGAGTGGTCTCATGCGCAAGACTTGGAATCTTGTCTCTTTGCAGAGGCGTCCATTCAAACCGGGCCTGTGAACACTCTCATATCCCGATATGGCTTCTTGATGGCTTCTTTTTTGGGAGGGCATTTCAGGATCGGAAATTTTACCCGCGTCTTTTTTCATGTGGCTTCACACCACTGAGAGGCAGTGGGGAAGCTCGTGGGGGCTGCTTGGGTTGCTTGGGGTCTACCTTCACAGGAAACAGGATGTTTCGGGGTTGGAGAGTTCAATAGTTTTGAGTAGTTGGCTGTTATGTCATTGGGTGACTGGGTAATAAGCTGGGTAACGGAGACATGTATATGTGCCTCACACATCATGAGGCGACCTGGAAAGCTTCTAGGTTGTCGATGTTGGAAAACACACAGGAGTAATCCTAGCCTGGCAACTTGGGGCTCCACGCGGATTGATGCCCAAATTCCTCACCGAACCTTACGTAGTTGGCAACTTTAAGGCATATGGAGCTCTTATACATTATAATGCCTCGTATATCTAGGGTCCCTTGCCTGGTGAGGATTCCATTATGCGCTTTCTTGAGCCCACGATGAGGTAACAGAATCACTCGCCGAGCATCTCGGCCAGCGCAAATTTAACAACGCGGGATGGTTCGAGTGTCTTTCCCAATGACAGCGGGCGCGATATCACGTCCCAGAAGGGCATGCCAAGACGGAAACGACACCGAAAGGAGGAGAAAGCTTCCAGTAGACGCCGTGGCGGCATGACCGTCATGTTTAATACGCGTCTGGAGACTGTGGACTGTGCCGGGACCCGGGTACCGAGGCTCAGAACCGTGTAACTGGGCCGTCTCCGCGGACGGGAAGGCAAGCTGCAGGCTCGTGGTTGGCATGGCCAACGTGATTGGCCTCGAGCTCGAACATCACGACTCCAGATGCTGCGGACTAGACCCCGACGATCTGGTATGGTGTTACCTATGCTGGAGAACATGCCGTGATGGGTCGGTCCATGCTGATGGGTGATGGCCCACAGCCTGGAATCCCGCATCGGAACCGGCGGAGCGATTCTCGACCTTTGACATGCAGAAAATTGGAGCGCTTTTCGGCAGCCAATAAGGGTCTTGTGTCACAACACGTTTCTTTCGATGTCTGCCCAACACCCAAACACCAGGAAAGGCGCAGATTGTGAGCTCGCGATGCCAATCTCCCGTCGAGAATGGGATTCCGCAGATGTTGGATCCAAAGTCCCGAGGATTCATGGCCAAGAGATGCCAAGAGATATCCAAGAGATAGCCAAGACTTGAGGCTGCCGCCGTCGGGTCGCCGTTACACTTCTTGGTATATGACCTTGGCGACGAGCACGCGACACTTGCAGCTCTAGATGATGTCGCCATCCCCGGGGCAAGGACTTGTCATTTAGCCTCAGTCGATAGAATTACCTATGGCCTAGAATTATGCCTTGAACGAGAGAGCTCAAAGGCTCGGCCGGGGATGGATTCAGTGCGGCTTCGGTCAGCCCCCCTCGAAAAACAAGCAGAGGAAGGCACATCTGTCAATGCCCGGGACTTGAAAGCAAACCAAACAGAACTGACGAACCATGGGCCAGGACGAAGAAACGTGCCGATCCGATCTGCTGCCATTCGTGGGGTCGACCCCTGGTTCCTTCCCGAACAACCCCTGTCGGCAGGGGTCCACTCAACCAACGTTGAACCACACACACAAGTTCACCCAGCTTCAAGATCACCAAAAAAAGAAGGAAAAAATCAGACAAAAATTGGTATCGATCATGATGTGACGGTCAGCAAAAGAACCTTTGAAGAGATTTTCTAGAACCGAACTCGGGTCAAGACGACCAGGTTTGCCGTATGGTCTGGCCACAGACGACGGAGAAGGGCACGATGGGGCCGCTGTCATTCCAAGCCGAAGATTGGTCTTCTCGAAGCTGATGAGGGACATACACGATCTACATGTCGGTTCTTGGCCCAAAACCTTGACCGAGGGCGTGTCGTTGCCCCCCCAGTCAGCCTACCAGAAGGCCGCGGGCAGCCACTCCTGTCGAGGCTTGCAGCCCACATGGCCAATGTCAAGCTCTCGACGACCGGCGACAGCCTTTTGGGAGCTTCTCCAAAGGGAATTTGGATCCGTCGCGGCATGATACCCACCCGGCCATCCTTGCTGCTGGCGCTCAGCTGAAAACAGGACCGCGTCCGAGGCGACACAATAAATAGCCTGGGCCGTACCACCCAGCCCCGTCCAGCTCGCTCCCGAGCGGGATCCCTTCCAAGCTTCCATCCAGCCTGAATAGCCTCGTCGTCAAGTATCCAACATGGCGGAAGCGCGGGCCACGTCAGGCGGAAACGCTGCCTACAAAAACTTCCACAACCAGTTCCTCCACGTCAAGGATCCCAACGAGCGCCGCCGTCTGGCTCTCGCCGAGGTCGATCGCGCCCCCTTCGGCTGGTACCATGTCCGCGCCGTCGTCGTCGCTGGTGTCGGTTTCTTTACCGACTCGTACGACATCTTTACCGCCTCGCTCCTGACCACCATGCTTGGCATTGTCTACTATCCCGGCGTCGGCATCATGCCCACCTCGTCCGACACGGCCATCAAGCTCGCCACCTCGGCCGGTACCGTCGTCGGTCAGCTGGGCTTCGGCGCCTTGGCTGATATCGTCGGTCGTAAGCGCATGTACGGCTTGGAACTGATTATCATCATCTTCGCGACCCTCGGCCAGGCATTGTCGTCTTCCTCTCCTTCGATTGATATCATCGGCATTATCATCTTCTGGCGCGTGCTCATGGTGAGTCTGTCAGCCCCTTCTGGACGTGACTAGACTGACAGAGCATCCATAGGGTGTTGGTATCGGCGGTGATTATCCACTCTCGTCCATCATGTAAGGCTCGGTCTGCTGTCTGCCGAATTGGGTCTCTAACATGCCTAGCACATCCGAATTTGCGACGACAAAGTGGAGAGGTGCCATGATGGGTGCTGTGTTCGCCATGCAAGGCTTGGGCCAGCTCTGTGCCGCGTTTGTCATGCTCTTCGTCACGCTCGGCTTCAAGGAGTCGCTGGAGAGCTCGACGAAGCTCGCCAACTGCACCGGTGTGTGCGGGCTGGCTGTCGACAAGATGTGGAGAACATTGATTGGCTTCGGTGCTGTGCCGGGCTGCATTGCCCTGTGTAGGTGGTCTCGTATCGGGCCATGGAGAACCGCGCTGACCATCTAGACTACCGTCTGACGATCCCCGAGACGCCCCGTTATACGTTCGATGTCGCCCGCGATGTTGAGAAGGCCGGCAACGATGTCGAGGCCTACATGAGTGGCAAGGCTGAAGGCACCACGGACGAGCTGGCCCGAGTACAGGCCCAGCGGGAGGCGAACGAGAAGATGACGGTGCAGAAGGCCAGCTGGGGTGACTTTTTCCGCCACTACTCGAAGCCCAAGAACGGCATGCTCCTTGCTGGGTGAGTACTGTCCCACAGTGACCATGACGTTGGCTAACCGACGATAGAACTGCGCTGTCGTGGTGCTTCCTCGATATTGCCTTCTACGGTCTCTCCCTGAATAATGCCACGATTCTCAGCGCTATCGGCTACTCGACAGCCGGCGCACACAACACGTACCAGATTCTCTACAACACGGCCGTCGGAAACCTGATTATCGTCCTGGCAGGCGCCGTGCCCGGATACTGGGTGACGGTGGCGACGGTTGACACGCTCGGCCGCAAGCCGATCCAGTTCATGGGCTTCGCCATTCTGACCATCCTGTTTATTGTCATGGGCTTCGCCTACAACAACCTGTCGTCCAACGGGCTACTGGCCATCTACGTGCTGGCCCAGTTCTTCTTCAACTTTGGCCCCAACAGCACCACCTTTATCGTGCCCGGCGAGTGCTTCCCCACGCGCTACCGGTCTACGTCGCACGGTATCTCGGCCGCCTCGGGCAAGATCGGTTCCATCATCGGCCAGGGCGCCATCGCCCCGCTGCGCACCCGCGGCGCCGTGCCTGGTGGGAATGCGAACCCCTGGCTGAACCACGTCCTCGAGATCTTTGCGCTGTTCATGCTGCTTGGCGTTGGCTCAACCTGCCTGATCAAGGAGACGAAGCGCAAGACGCTCGAAGAGCTGGCGGGTGATGATGATTATGCGGCCACGGCCCCGGGGGATCCGCTGGCTATCGGGGTGGTGGAGGAGACCAAGGGGAGCGGAGAGGATTTGAAGAAGGTGGTGGGTAGCGGGGAGTCAACTTGAGGTTTCTTGTAAAGATGGCGGGTGGCATGTGGGTAATACTCGGTTTGGGCGATAATGAGGATTGTAATTTCATCAACGGTGAGCTTTAGCACGTGTAGCATCCATGAGATACCATTCTTGAATACAATGGGGTTGATCCTAAATATTTGTTGCTGCTTTGGCGAGCTTGTGCAGTATGTAATTAGCCCTTGAGGTTGGCGGTATATCGTGGATATAAAGTTATGATGGGGAACAAAGGGGTGGAACTTGTGTCTTTACCAAGCCCCTATTTCGGTAATCCAGTCCAGTCCAATTTGATCGAACTCGAGTACTTACCCTGCATCATTTTTTCCGTACAAGTAATAGACACAAACAGTTTTTGGCTTGTGTTTCCAGCAAGCTTAGTAGCTCTGGGGTACGGCCTACATATTTCTGTCGCTTTTCTGTTCCTGTTGGTATAAAAGATAGTGTCGTTATCGGCACGAAGTATCAGGCCGATGATGTAAAGCAGACATTCTGGTCTGTTCTTTTTTTCTGGTTGTCCAACGCCGATGGTGATACGGTCTTGTAATACTAAGACATGCTGCAAAAGCCTCCCTCTAGCTGCCGTGGACCCGAAGTCAAACTATACCCTCAATTAATTTAATATGAAGTCGATTATCACTCTCTATTACCTGTGATACCGTTACGGCCGTGGTGTCCTCTTCCTAAACCATCCCAGGGGGAACTGATCTCTCCTCATATCCGCCGCCAGTCAGGGCCCATAACTCAGGGATTAAGTTCTCCTGTCTACGGAGTACCTGTCTATTTATCTCCAATCCATTCACATACCAACCGATGCCGTCAAGGAAAGGTA